AGACAATTAACTCAAACGCTCTGCCCATGTGATTGTTTCTCTTTCTCCTTTCATAGTGTAACGAACATGTTCCTTTATTCTTGCTTTCTGGTCCTTCGGGATCATTGAGTCTAGCACTTTCAAGTGTTCGGAATTGAGTACCGCTCAAGCCGGTGCTAGGGGGCGTGAGGGATGTTGCACTTTTTCATTACCCCTCAAACAATCCGAGTCTACAATTTTCGTGTAATTTTGCTGTTTTTAATGCTTCCGAGAGATCACTTTTTTCTAGATATTTTCATATACAATCTGATAAACACTATCTAAAAAGACAATGTCTTCCTCAGTGGGGTACTGTATACCACCACTAAATTCATGTATGGTTATAATATTATTACGTTATATAGTATAACTAACTTCACGACTTATCAAAGAAAATGTATCTATTTATGTATCTACAACTTTTAAGTTTCAAATTAGATACATTCTTTATCAAAGAAAATGTATAGGAGCTGTGTTCCTTTTTCAGTTTTTAATGCTTCCGAGAGATCACTTTTTTCTAGATATTTTCATATACAATCTGATAAACACTATCTAAAAAGACAATGTCTTCCTCAGTGGGGTACTGTATACCACCACTAAATTCATGTATGGTTATAATATTATTACGTTATATAGTATAACTAACTTCACGACTTATCAAAGAAAATGTATAGGAGCTGTGTTCCTTTTTCAGTAGCCTAATTAGTATATTGTATCGAGCTTTAAATGATAATTTAAATCGAATGATAGTAAATATACTTTGGCATGGTATGGAATGGAATGTCCGCAATTATTATATGTATCTTGATGACATGTTTATATCTGAATGATACAACTCCATGTATGTTCATTGCTTTTTTATTCATAAGATTTGCTTACTGCAATGTGGATATTTCAAACTATGTACATGTATTGCACATTGCCGCTTATCTAACCAATGCAAATACACGATATTGCTTCATTGCACATTTCTATAGATGAAACAGAATCATTATTTCAATTGCATGTGTGCTATCGCTAGATTTCACATTGCCCCTCACATAACTTATTTTTTTGTAAATATAATAAATATATAGTTACGTGATGAAGAAGTTCTATTAGAATGGCTACTGCCTTATGACATTTTTCCTTCATTATATTACTACTTCTTTTCTTGAAAACAATAAAAAAACATATTAAGAGTACATGGAGTAGCATGTAGCACACACGTTCGTAAATGGGACATAATCGAATTCAGTCAGTCATATTTTACATCTTCCATAAAACAGTGTCACAGGTAAAAGGTTATCACATGCCATTCGGAAGGATCCATTTAGATACATCTAGTAAATTCATGATTTGACAACCTGTTATAGGTGTCAGGATCATTGATGCCAACACTGTTAAGTGTTGATAATTGAGTACCGATCAAGACGGTGCTATGGAGCGTGAGGGATGTTGCATTTATTCATTATCCCTCATGTACAGACTTAAACCGAATCTGCAATTTTCATGTAATTTTGTTGTAATTAATGCTACCGAGAAATCACTTTGTTTCCAGATTTCTAAACTTCGCAACAGCAAGTGTCAAGTGCCGAGTGGAAGCTGTAACATTGCCCCATATATTCACTCCCGTGTTGTAATATTTTTGAGGTCTTTCGGGATCATTGATACCAACACTATTAAGTGTTAAGAATTGAGTACCGCTCAAGCCTTTGCTAGAGGGCGTGAAAGATGTTGCATTTATAAACTAAAACTAAAACTGACCAGAACTCAATTCAAAAGACTAAAAGGAAAAGAGGAAAACAGTCATGATTGAACAGACAGCAAAAGACATACAAAAAGACAACGGCAGATAACAACAAATACTTAATGGAGAAACAATGCTACAAGACAATCAATGGCATAAACGACACGACACGAAAAGAAACAAATAAAAGAGACTTAATAGAACAAGGCATCAACGATACAGACAAAGGAACACTGAAAATGAGCAGGAAAGAAATATCGATATCAGAAGAAAAGGCGGAATACCCAACAACGGAAGATGTTCACAAATACAGACAGCAAAATACTTAACAAAAAATACAACAAACCTAGCGGAGTAATTGCTGAACGGAAAACCCAAAACAGTACATAACAATTGAAAGGCACTTTACGGAACAGACAAGGAGAAACTGGAACATAAAATAAAAGAGAAACAGACGATTAAAACCTAATAGGAAAGGCAACAATGAAAAAGACAATAAGAGACACATAAAATTATAGACAACGAGACACATAACGGGAAAGGATAGAAAAACTGTGTTAGGAGTTCGATTACTGAATAATTTTTAAACCTTGAAAATAAAATGAGTTACTAATCAAACATTCTTGTGTTTGTTTGTTTGAATTCAAGTCACACTGACACAAACAAAAAAGCGACTTTCTAGTAAGTACTTTAAGAGACTCTGTGTACCTTATCCAATTACAGGGGTACTTTAGCAGACCCATTGACCATCAATAACATGTTCAGTTATTCAGTATCAGTATACTCCATCTCTTATAATGTAGATTGTCGAAACAGTTGAATAATACGATACGTAAAGAATATATTCAGCATTAGAAATAATATAATGTTTTGTGTGCGAAGTTTTGCACGACTGAGTGAAAAGCGTTACAACGTTTTTTTATATTTATTTTGGGGTCGTTTTGCTTATAATAAAATATCTATCTGGAAAACTTTTAGATCATATCCTTAAAGTTTGCTAAAAAAACATTAGTGCAAACCTACATCCAATGGTACATAATTTTCGGGAAAACATTTCCAGTCCCGTCATTTCAAAACAAACTCAGTGGTGTTCCTTTAATGTATCGTATTATTGCATTCTTTAAGTTTAAAATGAAATAAATTAGCTTTGTCATGCGGTGGAATGCAGACATTGCTTAATTATAGGCTTTAACACCTGATAATGAATAATAAATCTGCCAAGATACTTGTGTGTGACTTGTATTAATTTGTTCTAGTCTTAACAAGATTAATGTTTGCAAGTGAAGTATTTGATTTTATCATTGAAACAGATGGATTATTTCAAATAACCACGCATTTTATGGCATATTTATATAACCAGGATTTACCTTAACAATGGAGGTGCGAAGATTTATAATTTATGTCTTAAGTAAATACAAAAACTCTTATCCTTTTGCAATCATTTCTTCACAATTTACTCTACACCCATTAGGTACTTGTTGCCATATGGCTGTGTATAAAGAATAAACGATTTTTTAGCAAGGACATCTTTAACTTTTTTGCAAGTTTGATATTTCAACAAGATTTTATACTTCTCAAAATTTTAACTACTTTAAATTTTGAATCAACGTTAATTTTTATTTCTATACGAAACTTTTATATCTTTGTAGCAATTTCTAAACTTCAAAGCATTTAGAGTTAAGTCAACGACGATGCAAAGTTTTTGGAGCCATAGATCATGCATTATCTTAAACTATAACAGCATGCTTTTGTCTAAATATTCTATCTCGTGCATACGCCTAAGTTCATCATCAAGTTGCTGGGTACACTTAAGGTAAACATAAGAGCTGTCATTTAAGGTGATTCTTAATTCCACATTTTACTTTGATACTAAATCAGGGTAATACAAATATTCAAGTTCAAGGTCATATCTAAATAATACACATGTCTGTGCGGTCACAAGTGTTGTTTATCCCCGTATTAATCAAATCCGTACATAAATAACAAAATTAGGATAACTTTAGGTCCTGACCTCAAAGCTGTTGCGTCTAAATCCGTATTAATCTAATCCGTACATAAATAACAAAATTATGATAACTTAAGGTTCTGACCTAATAGATGTTGTGTCTAAATATGAAGTTAATACATTTATGAATAACAAAGTTATAACTAGTAACAGAAAAAGCAAGGGAATTTCATAAAATCAATTTAAGGTCAAGGTCACATCCAAATTATTCAATGTTTGTTTGGTAGCAAGTCTTGTTTTGTCCAGTATAAATCAAATCCGTACATAAATAACAAAATTATGACAATTTAACAATTCAATAACTTAATATTGACGGTCAATGACGTTTAAGGGTCAAGGTCAGTTCAACCTTTCAGAAGGTCTTGTCCAAAATGTTGTTTTGTCAAAGTATGAAGATAATCCATTTATTACTTACAAAGTTACAGTCAATTATAGCAAAATGATAATTCAGTAAAAATTCAAAAATTCAAACTTCAAGGTCAATGTTATAAAAACACAAGGCCAATTTGAGTTCAATGTGCATGAGGGTCTTATGTTATAGTCAGTTAAACCAAACAAAAATGAAAAGTTTAATAATTTGACATTCAAGGTCAAGGTCATTTGTGACTGTTGGTCACGGTCTGTCTGGGCAAACTGAAAAGAATATCCTAAAGATAATTATGTTTAAGTTTAAAAACAATCCATTAAAGAATAACAAAGTTTTAGCCACTAATAAAAAAAATCAGCAAAAGGGTTAAAGATTGCGGACGGCAACGGCAAAGTCAACATAGACATTACGAACAGTCCCTCTAATTGTTTTCTAAAAAAAGTCGAGCTAAAAATGAAGTGAGGTATTACGATGTTCAAGGCTTATTTATCGATTCGGCTGAATTAACAGTGACTTGGTAGAAAGACGAACGCCGAGAAGACGCAGATTAAATAGTCCATGTTGATGTTCAGTCTAGTAATAGGTTGACGACGAAATGATCCTTGAAAATTAAAGTATTTTAATTGGTGGATTGCTTTCGTTCAAGTCAGTCAGGCAAATACTAATATTAAAATATTTAAGAATCATGTATTACACTTCAGTTTAGGAAAAATAAATAAACCTTTCAAATGCAGGTGGTTGCAAAAATAAAAAAAATTTAAACCTGTTTATCATTACATGATTATTTACAGCATTGGTCATGTGACCAATTTGCATAGCCCCGTATGACACACAGCATAAATATGGGCAGCCGCGCTCCATTGTCACATTAGTCTAGAAGCGGTGGGGATAAAATCATGGTATGTAATATTTATTACCTTTTTCTGACTAACAATCCTAAAGTACATTTACTTTATGATAATTCATTTTTTCCCTTTTTTATTCAGAGCTAGACTTTTATTTTCTGTATATAACTTGTGCAATGTTTTTTCTTGCTTTCTGGGAATGTTTTGTTTTTGTCAAAATTCTATTTTCAGAAAAATTTTTAAAAAAAATTATAAGAGTACATTTTTTTCAAATCTCTATGTATTTTAATTTGATATTATATTAAGATATTATACACAGTTTCAAAACAGAAGGGATATTTTACTTACAGCAACAAAATTCATCAAATTCACAGATAAACTACATTTTGTGTCAGCAGAAAAAATACAAACCTTTTTTGTTGATACATCGAATGCATATTCTCATTGCGTAAAATATAAAAACATTAAATTTTAAAGTAATATACTAAAAATGAAACTGTATATATGTCTTAAATTCTTATGGCTCGAATATGAAACAATTCATTGTTCCATCGATCACAGCTTGATATGGTGCGTCACTGATATTAATGGCATGTCTGAAATTGCGTAAAATATCTTCCTATTACATTCAATTTCTTTTTTGAGCAAATGCTGAACAAGGTCAGGTTTATTTACATTTGTTTTAAATAGTAGATTTAATAACGTGGCATATATGAATCATTTTATGAGAACATTGAGGATGATAAAAATGGTCAATTTAGGATACATGTAAATAATATTTTAGACTTATAAACGTATTCCATAACAATGTATAATAGCTAATTGTAACTGTTAAAAGTATTATTCTATTTTGTTAAAGGCACATTATACATCAAGCTTTTTTATAATTTAGGCAGTAATTTATTTTCTATTATAAGTAAACATTTTCAAATTGTAATTGTTGGCAAATCACAACCGATGTGTTTGGGGGATCATACCTTAAATGCTAACAGCGTGACGAAAATAGGTCTGAATGCAGATTTATTTGTCAAGTAGTACTTGACTTCAATTTTAAATACTACATCACTGTAAATGTTGTAACAGCCAAAGGCCAACAAAGGCAAAAGAAAGTCAATATAATTTGCTATGAAAACTATCAAACTATTAGAGGGCACAAAAACTGAAGAAAACCAAATGAGGATTACAAATTATTTGGAGCGTAATGGGCCTTGAAGATTTATTTGTAGATCTTTTTCTGTCAATGTTTAAAATTATCAATGTTTTTGAAATGTTATCAATTTAAGGGGCTGAAAATTAGGAATTTCTTCTTCGCTGTGTTAACAATGTATTTACTATCGTCTGCTGCAGGTAAGTCAAACGACATTAAAGCTGCTCATTTATATATCAGTACATAATTAAAGTCGGTCGTCAAATTATTATTATTATTATTATTATTATTATTATTATTATTATTATTATAAAAGTTATGATAAAATCAAGTATTTACAGAATATTTGTTACTTTTTGCTGTACGGGACTTTTTATCAAATAAATGAAACTATTATATTAAAATATATAAAAATGCGCAATTTCATTGACAAACAAATCATTTTTATTTGCCAAGCGAAAGGTAAACGTTCCTGATATTTTTCAAAGGCAATATAAAGTTCAATTCTAGGAGCAGTGTCAGAAACAGATTGTTCAACTAACGATGATTGCAAAGACATTGATCACGCTGAATGTGACGGTGAAACTACAAAATGCAAATGTTCAGATGGTTTTAGAGAGGACGGCGATACATGTGTCAAAAGTATGATGAATTTGTTCAATTTTATTCAATTCATAACAAATATTTACAAGAGCATTTCATAATTTGATGTTTACGATTACCTGTCAGGAAAGTAATAAGCTCTACTTATTTAATATTATGTTTATTTAGGAAAAGTGTCGGAAACAGATTGCACTAATGGAGCATGCACAGACATGGATCACGCTGAATGTGACAGTGGAACCGCAAAATGCAAATGTTCAGATGGTTATAAAGAAGATTCTACTGATGGCACCACGTGTGTCAAAGGTATAAATCATTAGATTGGTTTAACATTTGGGGAATAAAATAATGAAAGATTACAAACACTAATAGATATTCAACAAAATATTTAGATTTTGATTTCGTGTGACAATATACCTTCAATAAAGAAAAAAGGAATAAAAAGGAAATACGATTAGATGTGTTAAGTTGTAGTAAAGACCTTACACATGAATATCAGACTCAGATGTTGGATTAAATGTGCCATTCGTGAGTTTGTGAAAAGAATGTATGCATTTATCTGAGATGGACAAATATGTGAATTTAAAAGAAACAATGATCTCTTGTTAAATTAAAGGCTAATCATGCCCCATTACAAATAATTTTGAACTTCTTTAAATATGGCAAACATGAATTTTATAATTTTTACATAATGGTTTTAGAGAATGTTGGATGCTTGTTGCTTTGAGAAAGTATCACTAGAAATAATGTCATAAAAGTAGCAAAATGTAAACAAAGTTACTGTAATATTTTTATTTACATACAAAATACATTCTCACTATATCTATAACTGTACTTATTGTAAAAAAGTAACAGATTAAAAGATGGTTAAGGAAATTGGTCAATAGGAAAATTATTTAGATACTATAAAGTACACCAAATTTTATTGAAATATTGAGTATTACAATTTACGACAAATTGGCCTTTAAGTCACTTTGTTAACGTTTACTGTACAGGTTAAAAAATGGAAACAAAAATGTAAATCGTTTTAAGGAGACAGTATTTCATATGCAAAAATAATTCCTCTAATTGAAATATATCAGTTTTTTTTTTTTTTTTGTTTTGTTTTGTTTTTTTTTTTTTTTTTTTTTTTTTTTGGTTTTGTTTTTTTAAATGGCAAAATGGGATGTTGCAGTAATAAAAATGAATACATAAATAAATAAATAAGTGAAATTTGGATTGTTCAATTCTTAAAATTGTCATGAATGTTGGCGTATGTAACGCAGAAAGTGCAGATAAATGAAAAATATAAATAATACCATATCCATATAATTTATTATATATAAGTACTGGAGGAGAAAAATGTCCTTGAAGTTATTTAGTTTTAACAATCATGAAACTATACTGAATTCTATAGATATGCTATTTCATTTTGAATATCATTTTCAACACCAGAGGGGATATTAAACGTTGCTGATATAAATTAACGGTTATATTTTTTTTCAATTCTAGGAGCAGTGTCAGAAACAGATTGTTCAACTAACGATGATTGCAAAGACATTGATCACGCTGAATGTGACGGTGAAACTACAAAATGCAAATGTTCAGATGGTTTTAGAGAGGACGGCGATACATGTGTCAAAAGTATAATGAATTTTGTTCAATGTTTTCAATTCAAAACAAATATTCACAAGAGCCTTTAGTAATTCTTTTTTACGTTTACCTGCCAAGAAAGTAATAAGCTCTACTTAATATCTTTATTTAGAAAAAGTGTCGGAAACAGATTGCACAAATGGAGCATGCACAGACATGGATCACGCTGAATGTGACAGTGGAACCACAAAATGCAAATGTTCAGATGGTTATAAAGAAGATTCTACTGATGGCACCACGTGTGTCAAAGGTATAAATCATTAGATTGGTTTAACATTTGGGGAATAAAATAATGAAAGATTACAAACACTAATAGATATTCAACAAAATATTTAGATTTTGATTTCGTGTGACAATATACCTTCAATAAAGAAAAAAGGAATAAAAAGGAAATACGATTAGATGTGTTAAGTTGTAGTAAAGACCTTACACATGAATATCAGACTCAGATGTTGGATTAAATGTGCCATTCGTGAGTTTGTGAAAAGAATGTATGCATTTATCTGAGATGGACAAATATGTGAATTTAAAAGAAACAATGATCTCTTGTTAAATTAAAGGCTAATCATGCCCCATTACAAATAATTTTGAACTTCTTTAAATATGGCAAACATGAATTTTATAATTTTTACATAATGGTTTTAGAGAATGTTGGATGCTTGTTGCTTTGAGAAAGTATCACTAGAAATAATGTCATAAAAGTAGCAAAATGTAAACAAAGTTACTGTAATATTTTTATTTACATACAAGATACATTCTCACTATATCTATAACTGTACTTATTGTAAAAAAGTAACAGATTAAAAGATGGTTAAGGAAATTGGTCAATTGGAAAACTATTTAGATACTATAAAGTACTCTAAATTTTATTAAAGTATTGAGTATTAAAATTTACGACAAATAGGCCTTTAAATCACTTTGTTAACATTTACTGTTCAGGTTAAAAAATGGAAACAAAAATGTAAATCGTTTTAAGAAGATAGTATTTCATATGCAAAAATAATTCCTCTAATTAAAATATATTAGGTTTTTTTTTTTTTTTTTTTTTTTTTTTTTTTTTTTTTTTTTTTGTTTGCTTTTTTTTTAAATGGCAAAAATGCGACGTTGCAGTAATAAAAATGAATACATAAATAAATAAATAAATAAAAAAAAATAAATAACTGAAATTTGGATAGTATAATTTTCTAAATTATCAACATTCTTAAATTTTCACGAATGTTGACGTATGTACCGCAGAAAGTGCAGAAAGAAAAATTTAAGTACTGAAATGTATAGATGTGCGTTTTCATTTTAATTATCATTTTTAACACCAATTGGGATATTAAACGTTGCTGATATAAATCAACGGTAAGATTTTGTTCAATTTAAGGAACAGTGTCGGATAAAGGTTGTTCAACTAACGATGATTGCAAAGACATTGATCACGCTGAATGTGACGGTGAAACTACAAAATGCAAATGTTCAGATGGTTTTAGAGAGGACGGCGATACATGTGTCAAAAGTATGATGAATTTTGTTCAATGTTTTTTTTCAATTCATAACAAATATTTACAAGAGCATTTCATAATTTGATGTTTACGTTTACCTGTCAAAAAAAATAAGCTCTACTAAATTAAAATTATGTTTGTTTAGGAAAAGTATCGGAAACAGATTGCACAAATGGAGAATGCACAGGCATAGATAATGCTGAATGTGACAGTGGAACTACAACATGCCAATGTTCAGGTGGATATAAAGAAGATTCTACTGACGGTAGCACTTGTGTCAAAGGTATTAATCATCGGATTCTTTAAGCTTTTGGATATAAAAGCATGAAAGATAATGATTACAATCCCTTACGGATATTCAAAATTTACATTGAATCAGCGGAATTTTGTTTGTACCGATGCTCAATTGTGGTAATCATATGTAGGTCACCCCTCTGTACGCGTTCTGAGTAAGTTGTTGCAATAACTTACAAGATATATTGTAATAAATTTCAAAATCGAGGAGGCTTACAACATAGTACCTCGTTCCAACGAGATACTATCTGGTTACGATGTTTATCTTGTTACGATATTTATCTCATGGATGAGAATAACTAGTGTTTCTTAACATCACTTTATTATCTCATTTCCACAATATATTATCTCACTACGAGATGTTTTAGGAGGAAACGATCTAGTATCTCGTTTCTAAACATAATCTCGTCGCTCCAACGTGATATTATCTTGTTCCGGCAAGATTAACAACAAAGTGCACATAACATACATTATGCGACCATTACGAATACTTAAAGGCGCCATGTGAACTACTTTATTTATTTTGTAGTCATATCAGAGCAACATATTATCTAGTGAGAAACGGGATAAAAGACGTACACAGTTCGTCTCTGTGCCACCGTAGTTAATGATTAATCTCTGTCTTATTAAATCTAACGTATTAGTGTTTTAATGTATAAAATGTCAATGTAAGCATATACAAGAATTGCATAATAATCATAAACCTATGATATTTCCGCAAATGTGATTCTTTTTTCTCAGAATGTAGTGTGTAATTCTTATAGGGTTTAAATGCGTAACAACAGACAAAAGGTCATATGGCGGGAATTCTCCCCCTTTACTGGATGAGGAAGACCTCATTAATTCAGGCATGAACGGGCGCCTGAGAGAAGCACTGACCATACGCCGCTTTTCAATGAATGACACTAACGTGTCACATTGAAGGTTCCATGATAACCGCCGTATGGACACATCTGCGGATGTTTCTAAATTCAAACAATTGCCATTTTATGTTTGAATTTTGTTTAAGCCGGTGCTAGGGGGCGTGGACGGTAGTTTGCATTTGACAGTACAGTCCATGAACAGGCTCAGTCAAACCGAGTTTGCATTATTTTTAATTTTGCCGTTTTGCACTTTCTTTTGGGATTCTTATTTTCTTTATGTTATGTTAAATGATTTTGGGAAATTATGGTACATGATAAAAATAAACCAGCAAAAATATAGGATTTGTGTTGAAAGCATGTGTAACGAACAAGACGAATAAACCTTTCATTTTTATAATGCTGAAATTTATAAAATGTGTTCGGATAACAATATTTCATGACAATTGTATAATGACTCTAAAGATGTTTAAGAAAAACTGATATTTTACAAATAAATACATATAAATGATAAAACTGAATATTTTTCCTATCATAAAAAGCTGTTAGTGATACAACATGCTCAGAAAACGGAGATGAATGTGGCGGTATCGATAACTCTCATTGTGACAATGGCAAATGTGAATGTGACGCTGGTTATGTCATGAATATTGATGTATGTACCGCAGAAAATGCAAGTAAATGAAAAACGTAAATAATATCATATCCATATATCTTATTTATTTATTATTGGAGGAGAAATATGTTCTTAAGGTTATTTAGTTTTAACAATGATGACAGTAATTCATTGATATTCATCTATTGTGTTGTTGGTATTATTGGTAGATTTCACTCCGGATCACGACAATAAGCCACATTGAATTCACCGGAGCACAGTTCAACCACTTGTTTGAATTTCTGTACAGGCTGTCAAGCAGTTTACCAGTACTAGTACTAGTTGCCATTACTTTCGCACGGAACGGGAACTTCTGTACATGCCGAAGCAGAGGTACAGTGCGAATGACCATAGAAAGGATTTCATGATCAATCACCACTATATATAGTAACAACATTGCCTATAATTTCAACAATGTCACGTGAATATTTAAAAGTTTGCGGCCTGGGGTCGAACACGTAGGTACCTTATATTTGCTTTGTGTACAGGAAAGTTAGAGGTGTACTTGTAACAATGATACTGTACCCCTTACTCAAAAGTACGTGGTGTTGTACATGAAATCAAATGTTTCCTCCCCGTAGCAATTATAAAATCTTTGTTGCTTTCTTATTGTATCACACGTAAAAGTTTGAACCAACCAAAGTTATTTTCGTTTGTTACAATTAACTATAAATAAGACATTTAAGGTGCAAGAGATAAAGTGTAAGAATACATCACAGAACATAATGATTTGTATATCAATTAGATAATATTCTATTATTTAACATTCATGTGTAATTGATACATTTCAACGAATTTAATACAAAGTTAATTAAGGTAAAGAGTAACTTGTACATATTTCGTTTCAGCTACAGCCATACAGTTAGGGAATTTTACGGTTCTTCTTTGTGCATTGGCAACACTTATACAGCAATTCTGGTAAACAAAACATTCTACACTTCGAACAGTTTGTATCAATGTTGAGAGTTTTACCTGATTTGTAAACTGTATTTGTATTTTAAGTTAAAGTATTTTTTTTCAAAACAGTTTGTTAATTATTTATTTTTCGTTACTTTTAAATAAAGATCATGCGTAAACAGAAATTTGTTAAAGTTTATAAAGATATATGTATGCTGCCTGTGCTTTATAACATGTTGTTTGGTTTAAAAAAAAAACATACTTACAAAACAACTGTATGAAATTAATAAAATTATGTTTTGTATATTTCCTTCAGAAAGAATGGTACATGCAAGGACAATTGCTAAATGGTTTAAAAACCTACTTAAAATATCAGCCAGTTTACGTACAATAAACATGTTTGCTAAATAAGCATGACCATCTTTGTAACGTCTCTTCTAATAAATACTAATAAAGTTAATATGAAAGCAACATTATTTTACTGTTTAAAAGTTTTATAATAGTGTTTTACAATATATACCTGAAAACGCTTCAAAATTAATCAATGATCAATGACCGATTTGAATTGGTATTTTATGATTGAATTTAATGCAACGAGTTAAAAAATTTGTAATCATCTATTTCAGATTTTGACGCAACAGGAAAGCCTAAATTCGTCTTTGTGTGTGTGATGGACATTTTATTTATTCCTTCTTCTTCACATTTTTATATACTACCTTTTATGAAATCAAAATAGAATTGACATTTAATGAAAACCTTGATTTATTTAAATAGAAAGGTGCATACACATGAGTAAAGAAAGGGAACTACCTGTACTGTATTCTACAGAGTCATAATAAGTTTTTTTCGGATTTTATTCAGTATCTGTATCTATTTCCTTTAATATTGCCTTTTCGCTTTTGTTTTATGTTTTTGTGTTAACAGATTTACAATTTACCATAGTCAACTGTTTAATTCTTGAATGAAAGAATATGATTGTATGTATGAAATCATTTTGCTTGTAGATTTTGAGACATCGTATTTATGGTACGCCAAATTGGTGTTTTCATCTATTTAAGCAAAATGGGCTATTACTCGGTGAAAATAGTGTCGTATGTCATATTCAAAGACAGACGTAGTGCAATTGGCAAAATAATTGAAATTACATGAATCCTAATGAATTTAAATGCGAAGACAAGTAATGTATATAAACATCAATATTAACGCCTCAGATTTTTCAATATCCGTTAATGCATAAAAATGATATAACTCATATTTCATTGACATAAAATAAACAGTGTTTCGGTATCTACCAGTTTTTTATAAACTGTGAACAGCTTTAAATGAACCACACATTGTTGACAAGATACTATTTCAGACGAACGCCATGTGATTACGTACAAACACTTTTTTCATTCAAGAATATTTAATTCAGAAATTCCTTAACAACTGATTATAACACTACTTATTGTTGCCAATGACGTTTCGTTTAATATATTAAAATACAATGTCTTTTTCTTTCCATTCAAAATAGTTTAACCGTGAATATTTTATTTAAATATACTAAAATGAAACTTTTTTTCTCATTTAAAAAGACTAAGTGAAATGAAAATATTTTACTTCAATATACTTAAATGAAATTAAGAATATTTATTTTGATGAATATTGTTAAAATATTGTTAACTGAATAAATAGTTGTCATAAATGAAAAGTGTTTATGTTGTTGCTTGAATACTTAATAGTTGTGTTTTTCTACTTTAGTCGATAAAATGTGAATATTATAAATGTTTAAGGCTTTCTAAAAATGTTCGGAAAAGAATATTGTTTTCTTTATTTACTGACAAAAATCCACAGATATTGATTACTCAGCCCTGGAGAAAGGGGATGCTGAATAGATATGTATTTGAATTTGTACATAGAGAAATAATAGGATGTGTCAATCACAGCTGATTGTTCACTTTTTACAAGGTTTACACTTAAGCTTGATATAAAAACTGCCTAGTGAATAAAAGACTTAAAGTGATTTGTTCACAGTGGAATTTCTGTTATACCATTAAAAAGTATTTGGTATCATATATAAAAAACCATGAACGCAGGTAATAATATACGTTACTGGTGGAGTGTAAGATAAATGATGGACATAATATATCTATAAATGTATATTTGCAGATAACCATTTGTTCTAAAACAAAATATTATTTTTTATCATATAAAAGTCCATACTAAATAATTAAGAATTTCAGCAGCACAGCATTCCTCCTACCCCCACCCCCCCCCACCCCACCCAAAAAAAAAACAACAAATGTTTGATTGAAAACTTGTACAAGGTTTCATTTCTGTTGTTTATCAATTACTTAAATACGTTTTGAAAAGTTGCCAATTGTAGACCAATTCACTTTAATAAACACAAGTTTTGCATTTAAACTTGCTTTAGTAGTAACCGGAATAAAGTTATTGTCATACATATTAACTTTAAGTTAACCTACCTAAGTACATGTAATTTTCAACGAAAAATCATGGCCGTACCGGGATTCACAAGTTAGTGTTTTAACTTAAATATAAATCAGTCTTCAAGAATTAAAGCCATATTTGACATAATCAAAAAGATAAAATCACAGAAAAAAGTGTTTTAAAGAAATGTTAAAACTACTACAATTGTTTACATAACGTAGATAAGTTAACTCCACCTACATCATTGCAAAATGTTTGCAACGTTCCACAGTAAAATATAGATAAAAAAAAGGAACAAAGACATTTCGAACAGTTTAATTTATTGTAAGAGTCTTTGGATGCCGAATATATATAACAGTACTTTTACTTAAAGTACAAACATTTATAAAGAACAAATATAACGTCAAAGGTAAATAATAATCAGCTTTATTTTCAGGTTAACTTCACAATTTAAACATATATGAAGAAAAAAAACTGTAGTCATTTTTCACAATACCCCACAGTTTCATTGCATTACGGCTCCAAACATGAAATGATACTGAAAGTTTCTCTTATAGGTAAAGATTTTCGTATATTTTTTATATTTTTTATTCTTTTTATTTGGTTTCCTTTTAAAATATAGACGTGTAGTCTATAGCCGGGGAAACCAAAGCCCGGGACCGCTTTGCCTTGCAATTCAGTTCAGGAAAAAAAAATGTAATATGTGGTAGGAAATTCTCAATAAAATAATAAGCGGAATGAATATGAAACGTTAGCATCCACAAACCTTCTTTACGAAATTCCAGACTAATTTTGATATCAACATATTTAAAATAAGTCTCCGATTGCCGTTAGAACAAACAGAAACAGTCAAAGGATTTACACAATTTACACTTAAACAATTCTCGAATAGCCTGTATAGCGAATTTGACAAACGGCATAATTCGGGTTTAGAGAAAGAAAGGAATGTTATAACTAATATGTTATGATATGTTTTGTTCAAGTTCATGATTGATTGCTATGTTATGTTTTTCTCATGTTTTATGTTATGTGCTGTTTCGTTTCATATAATGTTTCGCATTGTTTTACATGTTTCATGACCTTTGTGCTGTCACATGTCCTCTTTTGTTATGTACTGTGATTATAATGTCTTGTTCTGTATGTTCTGATGTTGTTTGTCCTGTGTTTTTTTTATCTTATATATGTTCTGTTCTCTTGTAAAATCTATTAGTCAATTGGTGTATGTATTGTTCCATATGCTAAGTTGTTAGGTGTCATGTTATTTTGTCGGGTTCTTTTCTGTTTTGTCTCTTGTGTATCATGTTGTATGTCCTGTTCTATTTTGTCTCATGCTGTCTATCCTGTTCTGTTTTGTCTTACTTTGTCTGTTCTGTTTAATGTTGTTTGTTCTATTTTGTTTCATGTTTAATGTTCTGTTCAGCCTCATGTTGTCTGTCCTGTCCTGTCCTATCCTGTTATATATTGAATGCCCTGTTCTTTTAAGTCTCTATTGTCTGTTCTGTGCTGTTTGTACTAATGTTTGTTGTCCTGTTTTGTCTTTCTGTTTTGTCTCATTTTATTTGTTCTCTTTTGTTTCATGTTGTCTGTCTCATGTGCTATGTCCTGTTTTGTCTAATGTTGTCTGTTCTGTTTCGTCACATGTTTATCAAGTGTAAATAACTTACCGGGTAATGAGCCTATCCCATCATATGTTCACCAAGCGCCTAGTTACAGTGCCGTCTTAAATGGAGCTGATAGTCACAGTACTAATCAAAACTTTAGTGTCCCGCCTCCAACAATCGATACAAATAATACCTTCAATGTTGCTCCGCCACAAAGTCTCAATCTCATCCCTGCACAAAACACTGAGTTCCCTCCCTTAACTTTGTATCCAGGAACTACAAATGCCAATTACATGTATGCACATTCGCCCAGTCAAAAAGTTATGCAAAAGTCTGATCAGTTTACTTCACACATTCAACAAAGTGTGACCACCTTTACGCAGCAACCTATGAAAAACTTCTCCTCAAGTGACACCAATAAGCCTCCTAATGATCAAATCGTTTCAGAACAGATCCGAACATGTCACGTCAAACAGTCAGAGAAAAACAATTCCCATGATCATGAATCTTCGAATTCTTTTCATGATCATGAATCTTCGAATTCTTTTCATCCAGATAACGACACAAACACAGTTTTAAATATGAACAAAATTCCATATCACAACTTGTCTGAAAATACCCATTTAAAAACTGTAGTAGATTGCACAGAAAATACGGCATGTAAACAAATATTGAACGATAATACTGCAGTGAAAGAACAGTGTTCAACGTTGCGTGGGCGGTCTCGAAATGCACGTGCAACCACAAGGTCAGAAAAGCGGTCAAGTTCCGCTATACCATATAGGCGACAAAGTGTAAGTGTTACACGGAAAAAAGATCGGGTTTTACCAGATGCTATAAATAGGAATGACTCATTACAACCAAAACAAGGTCAATCGACAGATGAGCGGGTTTCTCGTGCAAACAGCGATAATTCTTCTGTATAGGAAACAAACCAGAAGGTCTCGTTACGATTAGCATTGTTAAATGTTCAAGGTCTGAAAACAAGACGAAGTGATAAACTGAATTCAAAAGATTTAAATGACATTTTTCTTAATCATGATATTGTTTTATTCACAGAAACCTGGACATCCGAGCAATCGGACTTGTGTGTAGAGAATTTTGAACATTTTGTATTAAATAGAAATGAAATTAAGAAAAATAGCAAAAGAGCGTCAGGAGGTATTATTATATATATTAGAAATCAATTTGTTACAAATGACACTTTAGTATTTCAAAGTAAGGATGATATAATTTGTATCAAAATCAACGCTCAAAAAGTATTTTTACAAAATGATTTGTTTATTTGTCTTTGTTACGTTGTACCTGAAAATAGCAGTCGACAGTCAATGATTGAAACGCATACATTTGATCGGTTAATTGACTTTATTACAACTTTATATTCTAAGTATGAAAATGATTTAAATTTACTTGTCTGCGGAGACATGAATGCCCGTACATCAGACTACCCGGATTTTGACCAAGATGATAATTTTTTACACCTGCACGTTTTACCGGATGACTATGTTGCAGACTTAGAGATTAAACGTTTTTCTAAGGATAAAGGCCATTTGAATGACAATGGTTTATTTCTTCTCGATATATGTAAACAAACAGGTCTCCGTATATTAAATGGTCGTTTTGGAGCTGATAGAAATGTTGGTAGTTACACATTTGTAGGTAGTAGGGGATCGAGTGTTGTGGATTATGTTTTATCTACACAAAATTTGTTCCATTGTATAGATAAGTTTGAGATCTTAGAACCCAATATTTTATCTGATCATTGCCTTATTGATTTTTCACTTGCATTCTCCGACACTAGTGCTTTAAATGATGTACATATTGTAAATAATGAGTCACCCGCAAGCGATAATTTTAAATATGTGTGGCATTGTGACAAAAAAGAAGATTATATTAAACGATTATCATCCGCTGATATTATGTCAAAATTACACAGTTTTAATGAACATGTAAATACTTCTGTCTCGGCAAATGAGATAAATTTATGTATCGATAAATTTTCGAATATTATTTCTGAGGTTGCATCTCCCTTTGTTAAGAAAGAGGTAAAATGCGAATCTGGTTCTGTTTTTGATGTGAACAGTAATTTTTGTTGTAAATGGTATACTGAAGAATGTTATGAAAAAAGATTAAATTTTTACAAATTGTTAAATTTCTTTAGAAAGGACAAGTCACATTTTAACCGGAAAGCTATGGTCGCAGCAAGATCTCAATATAAGGCTTGTGTTAGAAAATGTAAACTCGAATATGACAAAAGAGAGACTGAAAAATTAAACAAGGCCAAACATAATAATGTTAAGTTATATTGGAATATGTTGAAAAAATGTGCTGGCGTAAGACAATCGAATATACCTGTTGATGTTTTTAAGAAATATTTTGAATCAGTTAATAACCCCG